CCCTATATAAACCCCTAAACCCTCAACCCCAAACGCTCGTCTTGAGTGCGGCCTCCTCGAGGCAGTGGGAGATCTGGGATGCCCAGTCGTGATGACCGATCCTAAGGCTGTAGGAGTTGGGGGTTCAAGGTTTAGGGTTTAGGGTTTAGGGTTTAGGGTTTAGAGTTCAGGGTTTAGGGTTCAGGGTTCAGGGTTTAGGGTTTAGGGTTTAGGGTTTAGGGTTTAGGGTTAGGGTTTAGGAGCGAGGGCTTTAGGGTTTAGGGCTTAGGATTTAGGGGGGCGTTGCGGCTTTAGGGGATAAGGGCTACTATGATCCTAAGGGTGAAGGTTTTGAGGGTGCTTCTGTGATGTGTTCTGAAGCGCCGTAGAAGGGGTTTAACATTTGCAACGCTCAGGGGTTTTAGGGTGTAGACCAAAACCCACCCAAGTCCACTCAAAGCCTGCACGGCGAATTCCCGGCAAGGTTGCTCCAGACTGTGATCCGCTTGACGGTCTTTATCGTACTGTTCCACTACCACAGAACATCAATGCATTAAGGTTGATGGGGTGTTCACAAGGTTCTGCGTCTCACTGGACTGAGGTTTGCAGTCTATAGTCTACGGGGTATTAGTCATTTCACGCGCTAGACGGTCTGGGGGACCTGCATTAGGAATAGTTCATGCTATCACGGTAGAAGCATCTAGATGAAAAAATCACAGAGCGAGCCAGTTCAGTCATGGTGTCAGTGTGCGTCAGCGGATCCCTTGCAGCTGCTTTTCTGATATTATGGATAACTAGAACCGAACAAAACACCGTAACTTGAAGCAATCCCCGCATCCAACGTTCCGACGCCGAGCCGCTGAACAAAGAGGCCAAGGCGGGCATTCCTGCACAGCACACAACGAAATCGGTGGAAGATAGGATCTGCCTCTGAGCTTCTCTGCAGCTTTACCCTGATGCTGATGCTTTCTCGTGCTCTCCTCTGGCCATGAACCTAAACTCCAAGTCATAGTCGCAATAGGGACTGCCGAGAATGCTGCACAAGAACTACGAAGGAGTACAGGCTACCGGCGAGCTTCTTCGAAATGTTGAGGATCCTGGAATCTGCCACGCAGCTCATGCCCCCAACATGGGGGCCTCAATGAGTGGAATAGGGTGTTGGATCATGTTCTACTATTACTTTCACAAGGAACCCCCACAAAAGATAGTTTACGTAAATATTTGGGCCCTATATATTAAACTTGCCAAACCTCAAGCACGAACCCTAAACCCTAAACCCTAAACCGACTCCGAATTTGAGCCCACCTGGCGCGCAGGACGTAGCGGCGGACTTCCGCGAGGCGGACCTCACCTCGAGAAGGCGTTCGAGTTGAGGGTTTAGGGTTTAGGGTTTAGGGCTTTAAGGCTTAAGGTTCACAAGCTCAGTTCCCCTAAACCCCTTAACCCTAAACCCAAAACCTCTCAACCCCGGAAACTCTCAACCACTAAACCCTTAAACTGCACACCTGAAGCCCTTGACGACGGTTCTCGTTTTCAAACGGATCCTGGTCCAAGACCCAAGAAAACCGAGCGAATCTAGGGTCAATGGTTTGGCGACCCAAATTCTCGAGCTACCCAAGCGTGCGTTACGGGGCGATTCGGCGAGCTTTACGGACCGATCAGGGAGGGAACTGTCGCATGCGACTTTGTGCAGGTTTTTATGAAGGCTTCGCAAGCGCTTCGAAGGGCTTTGCAAACATCTTATGAGGGCTCAAGAAGAGCTTCAGTCTGTTTATGAGGCACGCAGTTCGGGGTGCGTGGATTCATGGACAGTTACAATGCCTCAGTCGGGGGCATAGCTGCCTTACTTACAGACGTGAATACTATGTCGATCCTCTACCCCCGAAATAAAACCTGATAGAACTCTGACAGCTAGATCTCCTACGTACTGAACCTTCTAGACCCCCTGAGAGACCCGAGCCACTAGACCCAAGGTTCGACGGGTCTTCAGAGCTCAGGGTCTCCCTCGCAAGGAACGTCGTAAAGGCCCCTTTTAATTTAGACAAGCCCTAGAAAAAGCCCTCAAAACCTTAGAAGCCGCACCTTCTTCACGATGCTCCAGCAGCGAGCCTTCTGGGACGTCTTGCGCAAAGACCTGGAGAAGCGGAGGTGCATTTCGGCTTTTGGGTGGTCATAGACCTCCGTGTAGGTTCTAGGATTTTGGGTCTAGTTCCTAGGCTGCAGTTCATTGCGTAACTCGGTGCCTCAGAGTGAGGGTGCACATTTTAAACTGAACCCTAAGCCCTAAACCCTAAACCCCAAACCCTAAACCCTAAACCCCAAACCCTAAACCAGGCCCTAAACCCTAATTAAACCCTAAACCCTAAACCCTAGACCCTCAACCCTGAACCCTAACCCTAAACCTAAACCGAAGCCTATACCGCAAGCTCCAAGGCCCCGGGGTCTGACGAGAGTCCTCGCCTGATAGACAAACTCGTGGCAAGGTTTAGGGATTAGGATGGGTATAGGGTTTAGGGTTTAGGGTTTACGGTTCAGATTTTAGGGTTCAGGGTTTAGGGTTTAGGGTTTGGGGTTTAGGGTTTAGGGTTGAGGGTTTAGGGCTCTTGGGGCTTTGGGGTTCGGGGATCAATTAGGGTTTAGGGATTAGGATGGGTTTAGGGCTCTTGGGGTGTTGGGGTTTGGGGATTAGAGTTTAGGGTTTGAGGTTTGAGGTTTTGAGCGTAGCGTTTAGGTGCCCGCGAGTTCCGACATGCCGTCACCGGGCACGACTGATTCCGGAAGCAGACCCATGCAGTGCCGGTAATCCCGGGAAGCAGCTCGTCTACGACCCAAACGAGCGAGCATAGATGGGCTGTGCAGTGTTCGCAAAGAGCTTAGACATCACATACAGGAAAGGATCCGGTTTATCATCAGTAGTGCTATTATCGCTGGTATTGCTAGTGTTCTCATTGTGATCAGTACTGCTTTTGACTGTTAAAAATGACTCTGTTGACCGGCTGGATGCCGGTTCAGCGCCCACGACATCCTACGTTCGTCTCATATCCCTTTCCATGAACACAAAGTTGAAGGTTCATGGGCACCCCCCGAATCTAAATGCCAAGCCCTGAACACCACAACCCTGAACCCTAATATACCCTAAACCCTCAACACCACAACCCTGAACCCTAAACCCTAAACTTAAACCCTAATAAACCCTAAACCCTCAACACCACAACCCTGAACCCTAAACCCTGAACCCTAACCCCTAAACCCTAAACCCTGAACCCTAAACCCTAAACCCAAAGCCCTGAACCCTCAACACCACAACCCTAAACCCTCAACCCTAAACCCTAAACCCCGAACCCTAAACCCTGAACCCTAAACCAAGCGATGCCATGGCCCGGACCTTTGGGAGAAGCCCGCAGAGCAGCAGGGAGCACAGTGTGACCTCATCGTCGGAAGCTCACAAGAAAAGCCCTGAACCCTAAACCCTAAACCTGAAACCCTAAAACCCAAAAACCCTAAACCCTAAACCTAAATCCCCAAACCCTAAAACCTAAACCCTAAACCCTAAACCCTAAACCCTAAAGCTGAAACCCGAAAACCCAAAAACCCTAAACCCTAAACCTAAATCCCCAAACCCTAAAACCTAAACCCCAAAGACCCAAAAACCCTAAACCTTGCAACCCTAAGCCCTACACCCTAAACCTCAAACCCAAAAACCCTAAGCCCTAAACACTTGCAACCCAAAGCCCCAAACCCTAGAACCTAAAACCCAAAAACCATAAATCCTTGCAACTCAAATCCCTAAACCCCAGAACCTAAACCCCAAAAACCCTAAATCCTTGCAACCCAAAGCCCTAAACCCCAGAGGAGGAAGCAAAAGACGCGCCGGAGCCAAGCCGAGGCTTAGGCGAATGGACGCATTCGGTTCATGGCAAGGCCATGCCTGCCCACGCATTCTTTTTAGGAGTTTAGGGTTTAGGGTTTAGGGTTTAGGGTCTAGGGTTTTAGAGGTTAGGGTTTAGGGCTTAGGGATTTAGGCTTTAGTCCAGGGGCAATAGTGACGCTTGCTCAGCAAGGTGCTCCAAGGCCCTCAGTCCCAGTTGGCCTGCCGCCTTAAGCTCGTGAGTTGTCATGGTAGTGTTGAAGGTACTTGCAACAAACATATTACCTGGTGCTACCCTTGAAATCCCCTGAACTAAACCCTAAACCCTAGGTTTAACCCCTAAACCCAAACCTCTAGACCCTAAACCCTAACCCCTAAACCTTTAGAATGTGCTCATATCGGATGGAAGCACTGGGCCCGCTGTACCTGAAAGCCTCACCCACACAAATTCCGTAGTCTTAAAATTTGGTTGCGGCCGAGCTGCAGGGATGGGGCAGTCATCGCGGTTGGTGCGATGTCTTCTGGTTAGATTAAAAGGCCCCTTTCGTAGATACTGACCTTCCGAGCCAGCGTCTGCGGAGAGCGGAAGTATAGCGAGCCGACGAGCCGAGGAGCCGCGGAAACCAACCCTATACCCTAAACCACTGGGTTTGGGGCTTAGGGTTTAGGGTTTACCCCAAGCCCTAAATTCAGATTCGAAACCTTCTTCTTGCTGTCCTGGCCACTACCACCACCGAACAGCCGGGGCCAATTCCTGATTTTACGAACGTTCGTAATGCTGCTGGTGCTATCTGCTATCAGTACACCGACTACGTTCACCAATGCGGGTGCTAGAGTACAGTATCAGTAGCAGTACCAGTACTACTACCAGTAGCAGTAGGAATGGGAGTCGGAGTAGGAGTAGAAGTACACGTCGTCGTGGTGGTGGTGGTGGTGGTGGTGGTGGTGGTGGTGGTGGTGGTGGTGGTGGTGGTGGTGGTGGTGGTGGCGGTGGTAGAAGTAGTCGTGGCCGCCCGAACAGCACCTGAGACTCGAAGATTCGAAAGCTTGAAACCCTACCCTACACTTGCGATCCCGAATGCTTTGGGGAGACGGGCAATTAGCCATGGCTCTATCCGCCGACCCCGCTTTCGGGGCGGCGCCCGTGATTCCCCCGAAGGTTTCCTCCTGGACACCCACTGCTAAGGCTGCTAGCCCCTGCTTATTCCGCTTAAGGCTGCCAATGCGTGCCCACGCCCCCGCCTGCACCTACGCCGTTCACACCGCCCCCACCGCCCTCATCGGCTCCTAATTCAAAGGCTGCCAATGCGTGCCCACGCCCCCTAGTGGTGGCTTTGCTGTACCATACTAAAGAGTATAAAGGCTGCCAA